TGGAGGAAAACCGAGTTCACCATTTTGAAGTCAAATGAAGATTGCATCAACATTCATGCATCATATTTAGACATTTACAAAATATGAGCATTTTCATTAATTTTATCTATGTTGAATATTTGACAAGAATTTCAAAGATTTTAGCAAAGTTCAAATCCATCATTCAATGGATCAACATTTCTGGAAGAGTTCATAATGAGAAGAACTCATCTGAAGAAGGAAGAAGAAGTTCATAATGAGAAGAACTTGTTCAACTTTTCGCTTGAATTCATCATTAGATGGATCAACATTACCAGGTCGAGTTCATAATGAGAAGAACTCATCTGAAGAAGGAAGAAGAAGTTCATAATGAGAAGAACTTGTTCAACTTTTCGCTTAAATTCATCATTCGATGGATCAACATTACCAGGTCGAGTTCATAATGAGAAGAACTCATCTGAAGAAGGAAGAAGAAGTTCATAATGAGAAGAACTTGTTCAACTTTTCGCTTGAATTCATCATTCGATGGATCAGCATTGCCAGGTCGAGTTCATAATGAGAAGAACTCATCTGAAGAAGGAAGAAGAAGTTTATAATGAGAAGAACTTGTTCAATTTTTCGCTTGAATTCATCATTCGATGGATCAGTATTACCAGGTCGAGTTCATAATGAGAAGAACTCATCTGAAGAAGGAAAAAGAAGTTCATAATGAGAAGAACTTGTTCAACTTTTCGCTTGAATTCATCATTCGATGGATCAACATTGCCAGGTCGAGTTCATAATGAGAATAACTCATCTGAAGAAGGAAGAAAAAGTTCATAATGAGAAGAACTTGTTCAACTTTTCGCTTGAATTTATCATTCGATAGATCAGCATTGCCAGGGCGAGTTCATAATGAGAAGAACTCATCTGAAGAAAGAAGAAGAAGTTCATAATGAGAAGAACTTGTTCAACTTTTTGCTCGAATTCATCACTCGATGAATCAACTTTTCCAGAGAGAGTTCATAATGAGAAGAACTCATCTGAAGAAGGAAGAAGAAGTTCATAATGAGAAGAACTTGTTCAATCTTTTGCATGATTCTATCACAGAAGGAGATAGATCAGCATCAACATTTCCAGATTATATCACAGAAGGAGATGAATTGTCATCCCCAGTAAAAGAGTTCATAATGAGAAGAACTTGTTCAACATTGCCATCATAATCAAGTGAAGTCAAATGAAAAAAAAAAACTTATTGTCTTTTAGTCTTTGCCCTATTCTCGTTAACACAAGAATGAACAAAGAGGGACAGTTGAAGACACTAGTTTTTTTATTTCATTTGTTTTATTTATTATTATTTTGTTTTAATATTATTATTATATTATAATATTTTTTTATTAATTTTATTATATTACAGGCCCAAATTACAAACCAGACGGAGGCGCAATTATAACCCATACTGGCCTAGACCCAACAGACCCAACTTGGTCCAAGCCTAGTTATAAATAGAAACCCTAAATTGATTAGGGTTTATATCACAAGCTTCCAACCGTCGTCGTTCCTGAACATCCCAGCCGCCTCCAAGATTCCAGAAGGCCAGCCGTCGCCTCTGCCAGGTGGTCCAACGTCCAGCTGCCGACACTCCAGTGCCACGCCACCTCACCGCCAAAGCCTCTAGAAGCTCTGCTGTCACGACTCTGATCGTCCACGTTGTTGCCTAGGGTGAGTTACCACCATAGTTATGGTGACTCACCGAAAGCTTCCTAAGGGACCGGTCCGACGAAAGCCTCGGTGGTGCCACCACACCTGCAAAATAAAAAAACAGATAGGAAGAACCAGAGATAACAGAAACAACAGCAAGCCAAACAAAACCCATAGCAACAAATCAAAAAGCAAAGAGAGAATAGAGTGAGAAAACTTACCACCGAGGAAGCTACGCCGTCGTCAGAACCTCCACACGCCGCAAAAGAAATTGAAATACCGAGAGTATTTCTGTAGATCTAGGTAACTACAAGGCTTTTTAGAGAAAAAGGACACCGGATTCGTCTTTAAGACGTTCTGATCTTTATTTTGGGAATTTTGAAATTTTCTGACCACCGGCAGCGGTGGCCGGCGGTGGTTGCCGACGCCGGAGCACGGCTGTCGGCCGGTGGTCTCTCTCTCAGTTTTAGAGAGAGGCGAGAGAATTAAAAATTCTCTCTCAGTTAGAGAGAGAAGAGAGAAAGAAGAAATGAGGATGCTGGCCCGAAGGGCCAGCCGTTTAGGGTATTTAAATACCCTCTCCCAAACGACGCCATTTTGGAGAAGGGTGTTTTTGTAATTTCATAAAGGGTAAACCCCGTCCGCAGTGCTCCAAGTTTGTATACCTTGCAATTTAGTCACTGAAAGAAATTTTTGCCTATTATAATTTAGTCTTCGAAGTTTATTTTATTTTATTTCAGTCATGTCCAGTATAATTATATATTTAGGATGAATACTGAATTTAGTCCCTTATAGTTTAGTAATTATTATTTTAATCACAAACATCATGTTTTAATTTGTTTTAATTTAATATTTGAATTCAATATATATTTATTTTAGTCACTACATTAATAAATAGGTAATATAGTATGTTTAGCCACTATATTTTTAAATAAATAATTATGAATTAGGTATTTAATTCTATTAGGTTATAATTTAGTCACTAATTTTAATTTTAATTTTTTTACAAGTTTTATTTATTTTAAATATATAGTTTTAATTTTGTTCATTATATGTTAATTTTATATGTTTACTTTTAATTATTATTACTATTATTATTATTATTTAGCCATAAATATATATATTTATAATATTTATTTTTTTATTTATTAAAATCTTATTTAATTACTTTTAACTTATTTTAATCCTGTTTTAATATTTATTTATTTTTTAATATTAAGAAAGGACAGTCTTAAAACAACTGGATGTCCATTTTCTGATATTTTTAAATAAATAAATATCCTATTTTATAAATTATATATTAATTTTTTTAATTATTTATTTATTTTTTAATATCGAAGAAAAGAGCTGTCTTAAGGCACCTAGAAGTCCTTTTCTGATATTTCTAAATAAATAAATATTTTATTTATAAATATATATAAATTAATATATTTTTTTCATAATTATAATTTTGAAATAATAGGATTATAAATTAAATATACTTTGAATTTTTAAATTTCTAATAATAGAGACAATTTATAATTAAAAAGTACCAATTTTGGGCGTTGTAGGGGTGCTAATCCTTTCCTAAACGTAACCGACCACGAATCCCTTTTTATTATTAAAAAGAACGAATTTTTGGTTAAAACGCAGATCCGTTTATCTTTTAATCGATGTTTTCTTAAAAACTCTTTTAAAGGATGATTTTTAGGTATTCGACATACCTGACCCAAAAAGCCGATGACAACTCCCAAATTATTTTAAAAACCATTTATTCACATCACTTTTCCCGCCAAATAAATATTTCGTGTCCGGACGAAATCCGGTTACGACACTAGTCTTTTGATATTCTTCTCCCAACTTATATTGATTTTTTAAAATGCATTGATCAATATTGTGTCCCACCACTCCGCAATAGAAACAAACTAGATGTGTACCCTTATATTCGACATTGAAGACATCACTCCCTATCCTAATTTTTAACAGAAGGGGTTTGCTTAGATCATCTTTGACACAAATTCTTGCAAACTTTTCCCTTGTAGTCCATGTTGCCCTGTAGTAAATTTTAATAAGAACACCGATTATTTTACCAATGTTCACCAAGATTCTCTCATCGAAATATTCCATTGGTAAACCTGGGATATGGACCCAAATAGCCTTTGAGGAAATGCTAGCGCTGTTGGCAAAGAAATTAGGCGTCCATTTCTGAACAGTGAGATAATGATCCATAATCTTTCAGGGACCCTCTGTTAGGACCTTCTGTCTATCATTCATATTTTGGAATTTGACCACGTAAAACTCGTTGTCGAGATCGATACAGTCGAAATCACCTTCAAGCTTCCATATAGATGTGATTCTGCTAATTAATGTTTTGTAGGCCAATGTCTTTCCAAGAAGTTTGATGATTAGAGCCTTTCTCCAAGGCTTTCTGATTCTTGATTTAATCTCCGTGGGGATCTTTATTGTTGGAATAATCCATTATTTCTTTACCTTCATTTTCAGAATCCTCTTCTTCTTCTTCTAGTCTTTTTGAACTTTGGAATATTCCTGAGAAAAAGGGTGAGTCCATGACCGTTTCTTTCTAGGATCTTGGGCGAATATCTTCATCAATAATTGCATTTGATTCGTCTGTTCTTACTCATTTGTTACTGATGATTTTGTTTTCAGGATTTTCCTCCGCCATTGTCACCCCGATGACAGGCAAATTCGTTAATTTTCTTCACTGCATGTGATTTAGATTTTTAATTCACTGCATGTTATTTTGGAATATTGATGTGGCATGCTAATGTATTTTACCATAAAACCCTAATTTCCCAAATATACAGCCACTGCAAAGATAGAGTTTTCCATAATAATAAAAAAGTGATCGTCGGTTAATTCCCATGGTGAGGGGGCTTCATTTGACTAGAAGATTAAGATAATTTAGTTTCAAACTAATTTGATAGTTAACGGTGACATATGCTACTTTCAAAATTGCTATTAAGTCTACCTTTTAGTAATATTTGATAGTTAACTAATTTGGATATCCCCATTGGTTATTCCACTGTTTCTTGAACGGATAGGGATAATATTTTGCATGCTCTTTGTAACCAATCCTTATCTTGGAATATTCCCTGCGAAGGACCGAACCTTAGTGTTCCATGGCAAACTGACCCTTTGCTTTATTTTAGTGGCCATTGTTGCGTTCCAAGTTCCTCTGGTATACATTCTTAACGCATAGACCCCATGAAACTGGAAAGATCCATTACACTTTTAAATCTTAAGTTGGTCCTTAGGGATAAACATTAAACAGAGTCTTGATGATCAAGTTTTTCCCGGGAGTGAAAGCCATTCAGGTAGAACTTATCATAAATCATCAACACTTCTTATACAGCTTTAATCAATAATCTACATATGATATGATTGACCCTTTGGATTTAAGAGGAAAAAAATCTAGCCTATACACTGTACTTACAACATTTGAGAGGCATTCACTACTATATGCCAATATGCAGCTAAAACATTTACCTACATGCTTTAGCGTATTCTCTAGATGTTATTGTGAGTAAGGTATGGCCTTTTGAAATATTCTTTGGCCAGGAGCAAGTATTGCCAGGGGATCATAACTCGATTTTCTCCGTGAGAAAGCTTCCCATTGTGAGCCAAAATGAGCTTTCCACTCTCTCTGTGTCGAATGATGTGGCAGGTATTGCTTTACACCGAGACGAGCTATCTCGCAGAATTCTAGAATGCGTTTGTTCTGAATTAGTATGTGGCCTAAGCCATCAGTTCCTGTTGAAGAAGGTACTGCAGAAGAAAGGAATGCCACTAAGTAGAAAACTTCTTCTTCTGGTAGTACAACTGAAGTTCTATTGTCCCACCTGTAATCAACATTAAGTCATTAACACTATGACCAATCAAAGAAACCCATTAATGGTTAAGACATGAATTTTGTGAAAAGAAAAAGAGGAGAGTTTACTTTGATTTATTAACCGGGTAGATAAGAACGGGGCCATTGCTTGTATCAGTAAGGATATTTCCAAATACATGTTGAGCAAATATTTGGATTTTACTTCTTGGGATGAGAAGATTAAGCCATGGATGTGGAACTTCCCATAAACCTTTCGACCTTAGTTTGATCTCGGAAATGTGAACTCGGTCTAGAAACTCAATGTAGGGAACTTCAGATACAAAAAGTGTTGATGGAACATGGTTTAACAGAGATAATGAACTCTTAATTTCCTGCATAGTGAAAACAGACATAAGTTTTTCAATTTGATGTGAATTGGGAAGTTCGACTGATGATCGGAGGAGTGTCTCACCTGACTTACTACATCCGTTTCGTCTCGATTGAAGTACTTTGCCAATTCTAGGCAGAAGAGAGTTCTTCCATCTGAGTTGAATTTGCTGGCTTGAACAGGATCTTGTGGATCGAATGATGATCTCCAGTTATTTAGGAGACCAGTTCTGTTTATTATCACAAATCCTTCGATATAATCAAATGTGCTTTCTCCAGATATCAACTTCTCTTGGTCCTTGGCAAATGTGGCAAAATCAATGTACAACAATCTAATCCATTTCACCTGTTAATGGAGAACAGTCACAAAAAGTGTAATTTCAAATAAATTAAGACCTTTTAACTTAATGCTTGCTGTTTATACCATTTCCGGTGCAGGTTCCAGCGATATTCTAGTCCGTGTTATGATACCGAACTGACCGAGTCCTCCAAGAACGCTGTAAAAGAGATCGCTGTTCTGTTTCTCCGAGCAGTTCACCACTTCTCCTTTCCCTGCATTCAAGTATAGTCCACCATCAGCAACACATATATATATATATATATATATATATATATATACGTAACGATGAAAATAATTGATAAATCAATTGCATAGGCTAGTTTTGTATCATTGATGTTGAACTTCGTTTCTTCTTAAATGTATATGAACAAACCTGTAACAACTTCCAGTTGATGAACATTACTGATCTGAGGTCCATGCCGGAAGGCCTGTCCACTGATCCCGGCATTCGACAACGTACCACCAACCGTTAAATGCAGGTAATCCGTCCAAGATTTCGGTGCCAGCCCATGTTTAAGGCCTTCACGCAGGATGTTTATCCACAACTCGCCACCGGAGACATCGACATAGGGGAAGTTCCCGGTGTGAAACTGCATTTCAAGGCCTTGGAGTGATTCCATGTTGATGACAACACCTCCAGGCGCTTGTGCCTGGCCCTGGAGTGAATGACCATGGCCTCTAGCTGCAACTGTGAGCCCCGAACCAGGACCCATCTTCCAAACATGCTTCACCGTGGTGGCGATATCCGAAACCGACTTGGGGCATAGAACAGCCGAGGGAAGGACACTGTAGATATTGCCGAAATCTTTAGCTGCCTGGTGAAGTTGTTCGAAATCGAAATGACCATCAATGGGAAGCGTTTTTAGTGAAGAAATAATGCTGGGAAAGCAGAGGTTGATTTTAATGGTTATGCAACCGAGGAATAAGATCATAATGCTTCTTAAGAAAAGCATGTTTGAAACTCTTTTCTAGAGTTTAAATCCGTATGAAGACTACCTTCTTCAGTGGGAGAGTTTTTGGATTTTCTTTCCGTTCAACATTTTTGGGTTCTTCTGTTTATATATAAAGCCAAGTCCAAGAAGAGAAGATTTTCACAAATCTTTTGTTGCTTAAATTTTCTGACAAAACCTTTGTTTAAGGTTACCTTCTCTTTCCTGTTTTTGGAATGTAATTAGGGTTGGTTAGAAAAAGGTCGATGAGAAATTCTCATATGCTTTTAGATTTAGATTTTTATTATATATATAATTTATTTTTATTCTCTTAAGATTTTATAAATTTAATTTTTCTAAAAATTTATAAATTTAATTTTTCTAAAAATTTATAAATTTATATATCGACATAAAATCTTACGTATATCTTTAGACATAACGATTAACTATAATTATAATAAAGACAATACACACAAAAAATTGTCTATATAAATTAAAATCGTAACAATGACATGAACGTGTATCTATTATGAGATTTGGAGTAGGGCATAGGCACGTGAAATTCAGATGCTTATATGTTGGCTTTATAGTTGAAGGCCGTATGATTGGTCACATTGGGACTCTTTGGACCAGCGATTTTGTAAAGAATGAAGGAGCGGATGACAGCTTAGTTAGGGAAGACAATCAAAGCCCCTTTATTTTTATTTTTAATTTTAACGTCTTTCGGCAGTCTGTTGTTTCTAATTGCGTCTCAAGCCTTGCCCTGTAATCCAACAACTGGACAACATAACTTTTTTTTCAATTCATTATTTCGAGTTCGACTTAAGTTTAAAAATTTTAGGCTCGTAAATTTTTGAATCGATTAATCTCTATTTTAAAATTTTTAGTCAAGTTGAGCTAAGTAATACTTGATCTTAACTCGGTTCGTTTACAACCCTACCCAAAATCACATCTCTAGCGAACTCAAACCCTTGAATTCACGACACATAGACGATCCAACGACGTGCAGGATGACAAGGGCGACAACGGTTAACGAAGGAGATGACAAATGCGACATTGGAGGTCGTGGCTGGTAAGAGAAGTTATGGTTAATGATTTGAGATTTTTATGGATCAGAGTTTTTTTTTAATTTTAGAAGAATAGATTTATTTATATAAATATAATAAATTTTTATTTTTTAAATTTAAAATTACCAAAGCGTGACACGTATTAGTTAATGAATTTTTTTAATTGTCATTATATCTCAAACAACTAAAATGGTAAAGTTTATAACATTAAGCACCTCATGATTTGAAAAAAAAATTAAACACCTATTTTAAAAAAATAATATAATTTAAATATTTATTTTATAATCATGCCTAATAATAATAATTATTATTAGAACAATAGCTTTTCTTTATCTTTAACAAACCACTTGCCACGGAATTCTACAACAAAATATGTGGATCATTGATTCCCTTACTAGAAGCTACAATAGGTAAAGCAAACTTGGAATCTCACAACAGTTCTTTTTTTTTCAAAAATAATTATTTTGTGTATATATCATACTATTATACAACGATAATTAAATATCATATATTATTGTTACTAATGATAATAATTATTTTCACTTAAATAATTATTATAAATAATCATACAAAGATAACAATAATCAGTTGGTTTAATAGAATGAGACATTATATATCTTAAGTAATATCAAATATTCAAATATTAACATTGTGAATGAAATAAATTAGATTGAAATGTTCATCTCAATATTAATTCTATACAATACTCAATTTAAATTAATATAAAATATCAACCGTTATAAAAAAAAAACTATACAAAATTATGAAATTTTGAGTAGATATTGCACTCATTTGTGGTTGTTCCACGTGAGCTAGATATAACAAATATACTTGTGTAATCTCCAACATATAAATGTGGAGAAAAACCTAATCTTCAATAGTTACAGACATACTTTCTAAAAGTAGCCCAACCACTTATAAAAATAAATAAATCGACTAGTTTTTATTAGCTTAATCTAATGATTCTGTGGGACAACAGAATTTATATATTATTATTATTATTATTATATTGCACAATATTAATGTTGAAATCCCCTTACGTGGGCCTCTCTTGTCCGTCTAATGCTCCACAATTGTGGAATGCAAAGGCAAAACGACATTGAACTTCACCGGATAATCATATATCGGAATTGTCATCAAAGAATCGAGGTGGGCTCCCCATTTTGGAAGCAAAATCATCCATCTACGTCAGCACCATTCCCCATTGGAGAATATGAGATTGGTTAATTTCGGACGTATGTGGGCATGACCACATTATTCGGCCTACAGTTGTTCATATGCCAGATTTTGGTATCTTTAGGATACGATTATGCATAGGAGTAATATCTTTTATGTGTGTATAAGATCAATTAAATATTAAACATGAGTTTTAAATTAATTTATATTTGTATAACTTTAATGTAAATATATTTTCGACCTGCACATTTTTTTAAAGATATTTGTTGTATTTCTTAAACACTCGTGGGGTTTCATTTTATTCAATTTTTATCAAGTATTTATTGTTATTGGATTATTGATTTTCATCGTAAACATTAATATTGTGACGTTTCTTTTAATTTCTTTCTTCTCAAAATAGTTTTTTAATATTTGAGTATAAATCTAAAAGAATTTTATAAGATTGAACCTTATTCTTAAAGGTTCAAATTCTTAATAGTATTTTTAATAAAAAAATATTAGTTGATAAAGTTAAATTATTAGAATCAAACCACCATAAATCATTGTATTCTTATTGATTATATTCAATAAGAATATATATATACATATATTAGGAACAACATTTATCATTACACCATAACTAAAGATAAAAATTATAAACAAATACTGAGATTCTGTAAATATAATAATAAAAGTCCATATATGTACAGATTTGTGTATGCATTGGAATATGTTAAAACTGAGAAGGAAAATGCCAAGCAAACTTTTGATGACTTTTCTTGTGCTATTACTACCAAAATTGTGGTCAATAGATAAATAGTGTATAATCCAAGTTCTGGATTTAGACACCTGCTTTTACTCGCATACCATTCAAAATTATGAATAATATTTTCCCATTTCCAACAAGTATACCATCTCACGTGAAATAAGTTTTAATCTATGCATTTAACAACTTTTTTAATTTGATCATTAATTTTTTTTTTCTATAAAAATTTCAAAATCTTTACATTCCATTATACATTTTAGTTTGCTATTAAGATGTGAATACAACTCTGAGGTAACTCAAAGTCATTACCCGAATATATATATATAAATAATGACATGACATGAAACGTGTCAAGCTACTCAAAATAATGATGCGATATGTGTAGTGATAGATCTAGAAATATTTTTCAGGACAGACACGCATATGTTAACAACATAAATTTTTTAAATGGGATGTATATTAATAAAATTTCAGGGTGAACATTGTTTCAATAAAATAAGTAACTACGAAGAAAATTCAAATTTCAAGATAGGTACAAAAAATTTCAAGGTTGGTATAATCAGTAAAATAAGTAACTAATTGAAGAAACTTCGGATTTCAAAGTTGGCACGAAGCTTTGGCTCAGTCACTGGATATGTGCAATGTCGTCAATTAATTGCATGTGAAAATATAAATATGCAATGATTGTTAATTAATTAATTAATAATTTTCAATAAAATTGACTATTTTGATTAAAAAAAATTGAAAATTTAAAAGTTAAAATTAATGCTCCAAAAAGGATCAAAGTGATCATTTGAACAAATAATAGGGACTAATTTTATGATAATGCTGCTCCTTTCCCTTTCAAAGTAAGGGTCAAGTCAAAGACTAAGGAGAAAAGAAGTTGCATGGTCCAGTGGGTGGAAACAGAAAGGAACTCAGTGGGAAGGGTTGAGGCGAGGCTGATGGATCGGGGATATACCATATGATAGCGGGGGAATTAAACCCCGGTCCCATTGCGATCGACCCCAACAAAAAAAAACAGGTGAAGTGAGAGACAAGACAAGAAACGATACTCTGAATGCTGCCAACACCACCATTATTATTCGTTAACTCCACTTTAACTTGTTGTTAGCGCAGTAATTATCTGTGTCGATCGACTAATGCTGGTAATAAAACCAAAGCCTATATATCCAGCTGACACGTTAAGAAATTGACTCGTAAATCAACAACACCCAATTGAATAAACCAAATGTGCTTTTGAATGCCATTTTCTAGGATTAACGAGTCCTTTTCCCACAACAATTTTGTCAAGGATTCCCCTCTCCACGCTTCAAAATCTTCAACAAATTGTCTCAAACACTTGACAAATTATTGTTAAAGAATGTTCTACGTTTGAATCAATTGTGAACGTTTTCTTCCCACCCTTTTCTTTTTATTATGTCGGCAGCATAAATTCGTTACTTAATAATTTATGTCAACTTACATATTATCATAGATGGAATTAAGATTAAACAACGAGAGTGATCAAATTAATTTCAAGATTAAAAGAGAATTAATAGATATTATAAAAAGAAGATTAAACGAGAATTAACAGATATTAAACTAACAGGAACAAAAATTATCTTTCAGTATCATATTTTAATCGTTTTTTGTGGCGTTTAAAATTGTGTGAAACCCACTGGGTTGGGTGATGGGTGGGTTAGGTTGAAGTCCAATATGGTGGAAAAGGAGGACCCTGTACAAGTGCATGGTGGTTAGAGACATTTTCGCTTTCATGGAAGGAGACAGCGAAGTTTGGAGCTTTACAAATGTCGATATTCAATCATAACATGTATAATGCGTGCCCTATTACACTCAACAAAGCTCCCCATTTTTGACTTCATTCTCCTCGCTCTTAAAGCTTGTTTGCCATTGGCTAAACCTTCCTAATTTCTCCACAATTGTTTTATTTCTTTTGGATGCTACGTACACCTGGCAACTCATTTACGTATACGGTGCTACTAAATCATTACCATATCTCTGTCTTTATCAATATCTATACACAAAAGTGAAGTATTTTCTCCTGGTATGTCTTGAGATAAAAGCTGTTGCAGTTTCGGAAAGAGGCCTTTCAAATTAGGGGATGACCTTCACAAGGGCAAAGATTTGGAGGTCTATTATGCAAGTTTGTTCATTAATGAGAGTTCATGTTGTTTGGAAAGGCATAAATTTGTTTTTTGTGCTGCTAATGCATTTACGTATTGAATACTTGGGGGGGGGGGGAAGAGAGAGAGAAAGAAATTGAGGGTAGTTTCTTGGTCAAGAGAGATTAGTATCTCAAATATTGATTTTTTTTTTTTTACAAAAGAGAAAATAACAACGGTAAATCTAGAAAGCAGCTAACTACAAAACTTCTAGAGAAGGAAATACCCCTAGAATCAGCGTCTACAAATTGGAAGATCTTTGTTGGCAGTGAGTTAAAAATCACAAACTCTTCTGCCGTACTGCGTCCCATTTTCGAGAGAATATTAACACAAAAATTCCCTACACGATAAGTATGTTGAAAATTGATTTCCCAATTGCGTGCTTTCAAATTTCGGGTATCGTTGATAATAGGCTCCAAAGGGTGTAAATAAACGTCAACAATATCTATCAGTTGTAATACCACGCAAGCATCTACCTCACATTCAATCGCTCTATAACTATACTCCCATGCAAGCGCTAATCCAATTCTTATAGCATGAAGCTCAGCCCCACACTCGAACAGATGCCCAAATGTACCGAGAACCCCAAAACTCACTCACCAAATGTGTTTCTCAGAATATCACCTGCACCTGATATGCCCGGATTTCCTTGGCTTGCACCCTCTGTATTTAATTTTTGTCTTCTATTCATAGGAGGTAGCCACACCACTTGAATGTGAGTATTTGGCTTCGGAGTAGGTTCTTATAAGCAAACAAAATGTCCTTCGCTGTTGAGATAATATTGCTTAAACAACCGAGTAAACAGCCCCCCATGTAGGTCGCCGAGAGTTGGTAATTAATCTGTCACGCCAAACCAAACAAAGGTTTTCTATCTTGCTGGGATAGGCATCCTCCACATCCATGATAAATTTTCATTCACCTCTCTATTATCCTCACAAATAAGAACAATATAAACTGATCAAGTTGTTAAAATTTCGTTGATAGAATATTTCCAGCAATAAGAATCTTGCATGGAAGATAATTTCGGTATCGGATATCTCATTGTTTTGTTCGCCACCTGCGCAAAAATTTTATCCAAATCCTATTGTCTATCAACAGTTATAAACTCAAATATTGAATTTGATATAACAATACGTATAGTTTAAACTTCCTACTTTTTTGCATAAGAAAACATGATGATGTAAATGAACAGTTATGCTTTAAAAAATATGTTCCTCGAGACATTTTAAAGTTGTTTATGTTTAAAATTTTAATAAATAAAAATAACATAATTTAAAAAAAATATTTTTTATAAAAAAAATAATCATGTCTAAAACATATTTGGACTTATCATTTACAAATAAGAGATGAATTTAAGAAAATTTTGACATACATATTTCAAATCAAATCAAACTTGATTAAATATGAGTTATGTTAATACTTTAATCAAACCTAGCGTGACCTATGAATATCTCCTTGTACATCTCAAATTAACCTCAAGGAAGGGACAACACGGCTGATGCAATTAAGTAAAACTAAACAAAGAACTCGAAAACACTAAAAAAATTATTTAAACCATGATGTTCGATTCAATTTCAATTTAATTATTCGTTAACTGCATTTGATTGACAACTTTAAGAGCTACAATTATCCAAATAAAGGCAAATTATATTATTTGTAATATTTTCTTATAATACAAATAATAAAATTTTATGTATCAAACTAGTAAAAGTAACTTAAATTACAACAATGCGGAGTCTTTTACTTATATTTCTTTTAATAATATTGGTTAGAATTTTGTAAATTACAACAATGACCTAGGCATAATTTTATGATCACCGTTCAATTCTAGCAAGCTGAAATATACTCTCTCTCTATATATATATTACTGTAGTAAATGACATAATTCTAAAGTATCAAAGCTAACAACACTACAATGAATTACAACATATTGCACGGCCAATTCTTGCTTCAAACAATCAATGGCAAAGCAGAAATCTGTACAACTATACACAACAAGATAGTGCATACCGGCTCTTTCGCTTGTTTTGTGGCTCCATGTGTTCGAAGCCAAAGAAATGAAAAACAGTCCGAATAGGAGATCATAAAGAAGCACACAGATTAACCATGCCATCATTGCTCCAATGTCGTCATTGTCCATGCAGGGGGCGACAATGGCGGAACAGCTGCTTCCTCATGAGCTGCCCTAGCTTCAATTTCCAGCACCTTCCTAACAGATGGTTGATGCTGTCTGTTTCTCCCAATCTTTCTTGAAGCGTGAGAGGCTGGGGAAACTGTAGAGAATAGTTACAAGAAGTTATTCTGTTTGTACAGTTAGAGAGTTTGTTAGTTAGTTTTTTGTTAGTTTGTACAGTTAGAGAGTTTGTTAGTTAGTTATTTTGTTTGTATAGTTAGAGAGTTTGTACAGTTATTCTGGGCTATTGGGTTATTGGGCTTCTGTTATACTAGCTTGTTTTCATTTCTCGCTTATGTTTCCCGTTTCAGTGCAAAATTCCCAATTCTCAATTATGTTCTGCGTTTTTACTTCTCTCTTCGTTTCTTCTTCTTCGTGATGCCTCCACAGGACATTTTAGAAATTGATTTCACGCATCCCTTGTATCTACACCCATCTGATACACCGAGTGCTCTTCTCGTTTCTTATCAACTCACCGGCGTCCATAGTTACAGTGTTTGGAGTCGATCAATGCGGATTTCTCTCCTTGCGAAGAACAAATTAGGATTTATTGACGGCGTCTGTCGCCAGTCTGATTTTGTGGAGCAACTTCAACCACAATGGGATAGGTGCAATGCTATTATTCTTTCGTGGTTAATCAATTCCGTCAGCAATGATCTTTCAGCACGTATTGTCTTCTCCTCCAGTGCTGCTCTTGTGTGGTCCGATTTGAAAGAAAGATTCGACAATGCTGATGGTTCTCGGGTCTATTTTTTGTACCGAGAAATTGCAACCCTCGTTCAAGCGGATTCTTCAATTTCATCATATTTCACAAAGTTGAAGCTTCTCTGGGATGAATACGGTGCTTTGGTGCCTCTTCCTTTGTGTGATTGTGTCAATGCCCAACAAAATACTGTTAATGCTCTCCAGTAACACCTTTTCCAGTTCTTGATGGGCTTAAATGAATCATACTCTGTTGTGCGTAGTCAGATTCTTCTGATGCAGCCACTACCAAGCGTTAATCAGGCTTACTCGATGCTGGTTCAAGAGGAGTCTCAACGATCTCACTCTACTGGTATATCTTAACTCACTGATTCTACTGTTCTATATTCTAATGCTTCTGCATCTCTTGGCAGTACTGGTAGGCGTCGGTTTAATGGTACTTGTGACCATTGTAAGATTAAAGGGCACAAAAAGGATCAATGTTATAGATTGATTGGATTCCCTGCTGACTTCAAATTCAATCGAATGAAGGATACTTTAGCTGCTCTTATTGGTCAGCTTGAAGAAACTGTTACTACTTCAGCTCCTCATATGCCCTCTGCTCTAGTCTTTACTCAAGAACAGTACAACCAGATATTGAGTCTGTTACATCAAACCCCTACTTCTGAGCCCTCTGTTAATCTTGTGGGACAAGCTTCAGGTAATGCTTCTTTCATTAATTGGATCTTAGACACTGGTGCTACTGATCATATTACTTTTGAATTTTCTTGCTTGATAAATCCAGTTGCATGTGCTTCAAAGAATCGATTTGTTCATCTTCCTAATGGTAAAAAAGCCCTTATCACCCATATTGGTTCTTACATTCTGAAAAATGATTGCATCATTCACAATGTTATGTATGTCCCTGAATTCAAAAATAACCTTCTATCAATCACTAAACTGACACACGAGCTTCAATGTGTTGTTTTGTTTTATCCTGCATGACATCTTCAGTGGAAAGATCAAGGGGATTGGTAAGGAACGTGGAGGTCTTTACTTGTTCGAGTCTTCTTTTGCATCATCGGGTTTGAATTCATCTTTTATTCATGATTTGTTTTCTAATTCCTCTGTTTGTAAGTTTGTTGATCATCATTCTCCTACCATTACTGAACTTTGGCATGCTAGGCTTGGGCATTCTGCCATTAATAAAATTCACAAATTACATGTTCTTCAGTTTGTCAAATTTAATTCTAGTGATGTGCAACATTGTTCAGTATGTCCTATGGCTCGACAAACACGTTTACCATTTCCTTTAAGTACCTCTAGAGCAGATAATCCTTTTGAATTAATTCATATTGATCTTTGGGGTCCCTATGGAGTTTCTACTCATAGTGGACATCGTTACTTTCTTACTGTTGTTGATGATTTCAGTCGTATGACTTGGGTGTTTTTGTTAAGACTTAAAACTGATGTTGTTATTCATTTAAAAGCCTTGTTTCTCATGATTAAAAATCAGTTCACTACTTCTGTTAAGATAATTCGTAGTGACAATGGATCTGAGTTCTTCAATTCGGTTTGCTCTCCTTTTTTTTCTTCTCTTGGTATAATTCATCAATCAAGTTGTGTTCTTACTCCTCAGCAAAATAGGGTAGATGAGCGTAAACATAGGCGTTTACTTGAGGTTGCTCGTGCCCTCCGCTTTCATTCTAAAGTTCCCTTAAAATTTTGGGGTGAATGTGTCCTTGCTGCATGTTATTTGATAAACAGTTTGCCTTCTTCTGTTCTGCCTTGGCGTACTCCATTCGAATTGTTGTATAAAAAGCCCCCTTCCTTGTCTCACATTCGTTTGTTTGGGTGTCTTGCTTATGCAACTCAAACACATGTAACCGACAAGTTTTCTTCGAGAGCCATTCCTTTTGTATTTCTTGGTTATTCATCTACTCAAAAAGGCTACCTTCTATTTGATCTTAAAAAAAAGTTTTCTTTGTCAATCATGATGTTGTTTTCCATGAATCTGTTTTTCCTTTTAGCTTTCTTTAATAATTTGATTCCTTTTTTTCTACTCAATCTTATAAGGATGGTTATGAATTCTTGGTTTTGTCCCAACCTCCTGTCTCTCTTGGTGATTCTTCCTCACCAGTTTTACCTGAATATTGGACCCTCCTGTTATTCCATTGCGTAAATCTGCTCGAGCATCTAGACCTCCTACATAGCTACAAGATTATATGCGTTCCAATCAATCTTCTTCTTCTTCTTCCACCTGTAAGTACCCTTTTATTCATAATGTTTCTTATGCTCATTTACCTATTCATACTCAACATTTTCTTGCCACCACTTCCTCCATTGTTGAACCATAATCTTATTCTGAAGCCATTTTAAACCCGGTTTGGATTAAAGCCATACAAGAGGAAATTCAAGCCTTAGAAAACAATGGTACTTGGTCTGTAGTATCTTTGCCTCGAGGAGTGAATCACATTGGTTGCAAATGGGTATTTCGTGTCAAGTATAGAGCTGATGGTACAGTTGAGCGTTTTAAAGCACGTCTTGTTACTAAAGGTTACAATAAAAGGGAGGGTGTTGATTTTGTTGAAACCTTTTCTCCTATTGCGAAGTTAGTTACTGTTAGGACTGTTATGGCCCTTGTTGCTATGCATGACTGGCCTCTTTTTCAAATGGATGTGCACAATATTTTTTTGCAAGGTGGTCTATTTGAAGAAATCTACATGAAGTTGCCTGAAAGTTTTAGAAGCCAAGGGGAGAATATAGTCTGTCGGCTGTAAAAATCTCTTTATGGTTTGAAACAAGCCTCACGACAATGGAATTTAAAGCTTTCTGAAGCATTGATAGCTGCATGATATCATCAGAGCAAATTTAACTATTCGATGTTCACAAAAAAGGAGGGTGAAAAATTGGTGGTGATGCTCATTTATGTGGGTGATCTCCTTTTAACTGGTAATGATTCAGCCTTGATTAATGAGCTGAAGGATATGTTGAATTGCAATTTAAAGATGAAAGATATGGGGGAGTTGAAATATTTCTTGGGATTTGAGGTTTTGAGGTCAAAGGAAAGAATCGTGTTGAATCAAAGGAAATATGCTCTAGAATTGCTAAAAGAGACTGGTCTTGAAGGAGTTAAACCAGCCATGACTCCTTTGGAGCAGAATTTGAAGCTTACTTCCACAGAATATGACGAGCATTTGCATCAAAAGGGAGATGAAGTATTGGTTGAAGAAACGTTAACATTTCAAAGGCTGATTGGAAGATTAATATACTTAACACATACTCGGCCATATATTACATTTTCAGTGCATCATCTCAATCAATTTATGCAACAACCAAAGAGAACACATTTAGAGGCAGCATTGAGAGTTGTCAAATATTTGAAGAAGGTACTAGGTCAGGGGATACTGTTGAAGAAAGCAAGCAAAAATCAGTTGTTGGCATATTGTGATTCAGACTAGGCTTCATGTCATATGTCAAGAAAATCAGTTACTGGTTTTTGCATAAAGTTAGGTATTCTTTGATATCCTGGAAATCAAAGAAGCAGAATACGGTAGCAAGATCCTCAGTAGAAGTTGAATATCGAAGTATGACAGTTGTTGCAGCTGAAATAGTATGGTTAAATGGTATTTTAAAGGAGCTACAAACTGATATTTCGAAACCAGCAAGGTTGTATAGTGATAGTAAAGCAGCTTTGCAAATTTCAGCAAATCCAGTCTTTCATGAAAGTATTAAGAACATTGATATAGACTGTCATTTTGTTAGAGAAAAGATACAAGAAGGAATAATCAAGGCCAAGTATATATCGTCTTCAGAACAGCTTGCAAACATTTTAACTAAAGCACTTGGAATATAACAACACAGTTATATGGTGGGCAAGTTGGGGATGAAAAATGTTTTAATCCCTCAACTTGAGAGGGAGTGTAGAGAATAGTTACAGGAAGTTATTCTGTTTGTACAGTTAGAGAGTTTGTTAGTTAGTTTTTTGGTTAGTTAGATTACTAGTTGTTGTATAAATACAATAGTTTGTAACCATATACAATCATGAAATGAAGTATACATTTTAACAGGAAACAACTCTAGATGAGTTACAACTGTATGAGTTACAACTGTCAATGGACGCTAAAAACTTGTCCTTCGAAATAGTACTAGGGGCATTTGCAATAACGGAGCTCAATACACCGGACTCTCTTAAACCTTGTATTATGGCCTGAGACAGAAAAACAACATTAACAAGAAGAGGTGATGAGAATAGCTATAAAAGAGAAGAACACATAATCAAAGCATGAAAACAAATCGAAAAATGTACATTGAATTCTAAAATTTTGATATATTTCCTAATCTCACTATGCATATATCTATTCAAACTGAATTCTAAAGATGGATGCCTATAGAAGTAGTTTTGGTTTCAAGTGCATTCTAGTTTTCACTAAATATCAAGTAACTGTCCTTACCGTTGGAGCATATATGCGAGTTAAAATACCCTTTCTCAGGAGTTTAAGCCTTAGGTCTTTATCACCCCACACAACATGTTCATGATACCTACTATAACCAGATCCAATATAGTTCAACATCAGCACATCCCCAAACTGCTAAAAGGAACAAATTATTAAAAAACAATATATAAAAAGACCCTGCATTCAATCATATACCAGTTAAGCATCTCTTCCTCTGTTGCAGTTGAAGCAATTATAAATGCCTGCAAAATGTAATCATTTACGTAGATAATCAAACAACAGTTGGAAGGAAATGATATCCATAACATACTTGGGACCCTATCAAACATCACTCTTAATATTGCTCCCAATCTTATGAGTGTCAATTATTGAAATGATCTTCAGCTGTTCAATGCTTCTAGCAACCTAACATGTCCTTAAGTTAATAGTTTTCCCTTTAATTTAGGCTCTCCAAATTCTCAAGTACAGATAACATGAGTACATGACCCAAAGTCTTTATCTCACAGTGATAAATATCTAGTTTAACTGTCTTTTCAGTTTTCCTAGATAGCTTGTTGTGTTTCCAGTATTCAAATACTTACTACAACTCACAAGTAAAAGTAGTAAAGATATACATAAACAAAAAATAACCCAAGGTATTAAACTTACAGCTCTATCTAATTCCAACATGAAGCATCTTTTTACATCTTCCTTGGTAGGCTTGCACCCACACCGATCACGTCTAGATGTTAGGTCTGAAAATTTGGCATACGTGTAGTGTAGAACAGCAGCCTCCTCCAATTTGATTTCACTTAAAAAATAAAAGAAATGTAAATAGGTGCCACTTGTATGTACATTGAAAATGATATGAACATTAAGCAGCTCCATTCTCAAAAGTCACAGTTTCAATTAAGATATGCTTATTGAAGATATCATATCAACATAAAGCATGCTCTCATTATCAATGATCAAGCTGCCCTCAAACCTTCAAGATATATGAAAGTCTGCATGTCTAACCACATAAGGATTTATGATGTATGTTTATTACATCATACAAAATCATAATTTTTGGAGCTTGATTTCAGCAATCTGTTTGCTGATTTAATAGTTGTCTCAACTTGGATATATAGTTTTGAGGCCAAGTTCATCCAGCTATAACATAATATTTACAGCATTTAATTTTCAGAATTAAGTGATTTGTTACTGATTTATTTTTTACGTTTTACCCCTTGTGTAAGCCTATAAATAGAGAATTTTTCCTCTTATTTCATCATCCAACAATTAACAAACATTTTTTTCTTTATCTCAAAATTCTCTAAAGAGCTTTCTTTCTTTTTTTTGGGTGAGAAGAGCAATTCGACCATTGTCCACTCTGAAAAATTGGGTGTACGAATTTTCCAGAGAGTTGTGTTAACCTCGGGAGACGATCATCTATAATATAGATTACACACATCGAGACAAAATTCGTTTATAAGACAGTTGTTTATACCACGTCACAATTGTTCGGTTTATTGTTTAATTATTTTATTGATTTCCATTCAATGCTAACGATTTCATTTTGAAGTTTTTATTTCCAACAATTTTCGGGACTATAAGAACATCTTTGATGCTATTTCATTCCCTAGTGAGCATAAAACTTGGCAGCGATCTGAAACAGATGATGGCACCAATTATTTAAATAGTTGCCAGCTATTTAAATAATAATTATTAAATAGCGATAAAGGTATTGTTCGAAACCGTTTTACATAATCGCTAGATTTGTAAATTGTAATAACATTTGCCCTTTTTATAATCATGATAAACACAATACAATCCAAAATACAATTGCAACCACAATTTAAATCATTGGATGACACGTATGTAAGGAATTTCATTAGGAATCGACCACATATATAAACTAGCAAAACCAAGATTGTGTGGTCGACTTGCAAAACGTGGGAGAAAAAGTAAGGGAAAGCTCCCCATCCATCCCCAGCTAAAGCTGCGACTGTGACGCCATTGTTTGTAGAGCAAGCGAGCATGCCTTGAAAAAGGCTGGTATGTCTACATGATTACCAGTCTTTCATTATGAACAAAAAAAAGTGGAAGATCACATGTTGAAGTTTAAATCAGTTCACTTTGTTTCCTTATAAATACTTATTTGGAGAAACAGTTGAGTATTCATTAATTGCAGCTGAAATCTGAACAATGGCTTCCTTTGCATCTCAACCTCTCTTCATATTCTTCTTCTCAGTTTTGTTCATTACAATCGAAGCGGAGTTCTCGTGTGAATCCGTTACAACATCCACAAAACGCATGGAGAAAACAACCCGTCTCCACTTCTACTTCCACGACATTGTAAGTGGAAAAAACCCAACAGTCGTTAATATTATCAGACCACACAAGAAGTCAGCTGGTTCTTTTGGTTCCACTAACATGGTAGATGACCCTTTAACCCAGAAACCCAAGTTGAGTTCGGAACTGGTGGGGAGAGCTCAGGGAATATATGCCTCTGCTTCCCAACATGATGTTGGATTGCTTATGGTCATGAATTTCGCTTTCTCTGAGGGAACATACAATATACAATGGGAGTACACTTAAAGGTAGTTTGGCAAACAACTTATAGTTGATAGTAATTGTTTCATAAGCTGATTTGATCAATTGATTTGAGAAATTGATTTGATTAACTATTTATATAGAAGTGTTTGGTAAAATTTAGCTAATAGCTCATATGGGTAAAATGACAAATAAATATATGGTACATTTAGTTGTTACGTACATATATGTTTTATAACACTTTATTCTTTATTGGGGTGAAATTATACAGATAAAATGCTTTAGACAAAGAATTAAAAATTCCTTATGAAAATTAGTGAATATTTTTGAAAATTTTGAATATATTTTTTAAATTTAATATTTACAAATATTAACCTTATGAGATTGATACATACTATTAACTTTGTATAAAATATCAACAATACATTTTTTTTACTTTCATGTTTAGCTATATTTTCTTAACTAAAATATATTTTTACAACTAAAAAATATAATAATGAAAAAAAATTCAGCTTAAATATATTAGGATGAAGGTTATTTCATTATATTATGTTTTATGGTAGTAATTATGGGGAAAAATAAGGTCAAATATGTCATTTAACATCTTATTTTGCAATCAGCTCTTTCAAATTGTTGGATTTTCCCGCAAAAAAATGTTTATTAAACACTAAAAATGGAATTTTTGACCATCAATCAACTATTTATGCTCAAATAAACTAAAAGCTCTTCAAAAATTTGTTTATCAATCACCCTCTTAGTACTCTTGGAAGGAATGAAATTTTTCATACCGTCAGGGAATGCCGGTGGTCGGAGGTACCGGGATTTTCCGGATTGCTCGAGGTTATGCTTTGGCCAAGATAGTCCGGTATCATAAACAGAATACTGTAGTTGAATATAACGTATCTGTTCTGCACTACTAAATAACTACACTATATATGCTTGCATGGAAACTCAGTTATCTACTTGTTTAAGGGCATGCTAGAGTTGCAGTACTATTATCTACTTTCTTAGGTCATTTTGCAACTTTTGTCAAAATGATCACTGTTGAATGAAGCAAGGTGTCATTTCTAGGTAAAAGAAACTAATAAATTCAGTACATAATATATATTTATAACCGAGTGGAGGAGAAATTAGCTAAAACTTTTCATAACAAGACTATGCGATTGCAGAGAAAGAAAGAGTTTATATTCTTTACAGAGGGACAAACAAGAAAAAGAAAGAAACGAGCGCACAAAAAAAGGGTAAAAGACAAAATCTTAAAATTTCAGGGTCTAAATCCCCAGGCTGACATTGAATACAGAGGTCTTTCTTGCCAGCAGATTACCACACGTCCATTATCTTCTTTGATTTTATAACCATCATAGTTCTTGGTCTGCAACAATCGTCCTGCCTGCAACATGCCATGGTAGCTTAAAGGCACCTTTCCGAAGCCGGCCAACTCGAGTCTTAGAATCCATTTCTCCAGCTTCTCATGTCTCTCCCTTCTCTCAACCCCTTCACAAGCTATAATATTCTTAATTTCCTCCCCTAAGAGCATCTTCTCGACCTTTTGTCGTTCTACTGGTGCTCTTGATACCGTGGACTCCAAGCAATCGAAGAGTGCGGCATAGAAATTCAAAGCTTCCATTACCCTCTCCATTAAAGTAGAGCCATTGTGATTGGCCTCCTGCTCGGTTATAACTATCAGTTTCAGTGACAATCCCCGAAGAGCCGATAGAAAGTTCGCCATTTTCGGTGCAGGAGCTAGGGAAAGCGGGGATAACGGTGATGATGATGCCAAGTCCGGACTCGGGCTATATACATGAACTGGCTCTTTCTTAAGCCACTCTCCTAAAGTACGTTGGTTCATCTGCAAGACTCTCTGTGATAGATCGGTATTAAGGTTATTCTTAGACATGGATGGGGAATTGATCCTTCTAAGCATCTCATCATCCGTAACCAAGAGTGAATGAAGCTGAAGGACGGAACTGACCGCAAGAGCTTCTCCGGTCTTAACACGCAAACTTTCGAGATCTAGATTCTCCAACTTGCAAACTAAAGGGTTAAACTGAAATGGAATGTCCCATTTTTCAGCTTCATCGGTCAATCGAAGTGCCATACGATCCAACACCTCTTTTTGTTCATGTATGCCTGTAATTCTCAAATGGGGAGGCCCTTCTGGTCTAGCATTAAATGTTTGAAAAAGATTAATCCATTGTGCAGGCTCAAAGCAATTGAGATCTATAATATGAACCATTTTCTCCCCTTCCATAGCTTCTACAATGGCCTGATTCGTGATAATATATGCAAGTTTCAAGAAAGGGAATAACTCAAAGAAGAGATTCTGAACATGAATTTTCTCGAGTACCGATGATATTTTAGTCGAATTGAGGGCTTTGTGAAGACCACTCCATGCTTTAAGCACCCTATCAGCAAGCGCCTCAGTGAAGTAAGCAGCAATTCTTTGCATGGTATCTCCATCGGCCGAGGCAAGGTGGGATATCTGTTCTAAGCCGATATTCGCATTCTCGAGACTACCGGCAGCCACATGGTTCGCGCATGCCACGAGAAGATGGATCAGATATAATCCCCTTTCCTCGGATTTGAGCTCCCCGAGCCACGGGAATGGAGATCCTAAACCAGGAGAAAGTGACATCCAGGACATGAACTGAAGTGTTGCTGAAGTTACAAATGATTGTCCCTCTTTAATCGTTCCTGCCATTAACGGTCAAAATAAGCTTATGTCTAAATAATTTGATGGCAAATCAATCTACATAGCGAGAAATCACAAAACTTGGTTCTTTGTGTCCTTCATGTTAGAACAATTGTGGATAAGAAACATCAGTTGAAACTTGAATTTGCAGAAACAAAAAATGGAGATTGAAGCAAGATGTAACAGAGAAACAGAGGAAAACTCTATGTTTTAACTATTCCAAATTGAGCAGCAAAAAAAAATATGAAACAGGGAGAGGAAATTCACCTGAGCAAGATAAACTGATTAAATGAAGCAATCAATTAAAACCCTCAAAAGGGTTTTTAAAATTCATCAAAATCCCTGAAGAAAATTGGAAAACTTTGCTGCCAGTAATTCCAATAGCAAGAGAAAGGGGTTTGGTTAGTGGTCTAAGGTTTTAGTTGGGAAATGAGTCAGCGGATTTAAAAGGCTCTTGTCTTGAAGGACTTTTCCATCTCTTCTTTGGCTACACCACAAGAGGCTGATTTTGTCTTCAGTGTTTTGTTTGTCCTTTTGGAATATGGAATTTATTGAACTTCAAACAAAATCTTAACCATAGGCCCTCTCCCTCTCAATCCACAACTAAACTAATATTTTCTATTACAAGTTCACTCTATTGTCGATGACAAAATTTTTTTTTTTTAAAGATTTCAGGTTTAAACAGTTGAATCAATAATAATAAAAATATTAATTTTTCTAAAAATTCCAGGCTTAAGCATATGTATTTACAAGGTAGGCATCCAAGGCCTCCTCTTCCACGACCCCTTCAAAATTATAAATTCATAAATAAAAAACAAGATAAATTATTTATTTAGTCATCCACCTATTATTTTATATTTGTTTTGGTCCTCTTATTGTTTCTATTTTCAAAATCATATTCAACGTTACATTTTGTTTCTTTTTTTGTTATCCACCATAAAAAAAAATTAACGGCGATGTTGATATGAAAATTTTAAATTATTTTTTTTCTTTTAACTTAATTATTCTTTTATTGTTTTTTAACAAGATGGAGTAGGTTAAAATCTAACATGGACCCTCTTAAAAGAGGATCATGATTGTTTTGTGTGAGTAGTTATGTGCTTAATGAAATTTCTTGATGTGTTTTATTTAAAATTTGATGTATTTGTTAGGTACTTTACTAAACGTAATAAAAAATTACAAGCAAATTTATTTAGTTTTACTTGTTATTACTATTCATTTTTTTCTACTTATTATTAGGGGCCTAATTTCTATGTTTATCCTAGTCCACTAAAATCTCAGAAACAGGGTGTGTAACATATTAAAAAAAATTGAATTGATAATACTTTATCATATATATATAAAAGAGATTTTTCTTTGGCAGGATGTGCAGTGGATGGGAATAAAAAGTGACAAAAATTGGAATCATTCTCAAACACAAGACAAAGCCAAACATGCCCTACCAAAGCAAAACAACAACCTTGCTTGTTGTCTAGTAGGTGATAGTGGGGATTACAATTTCCATGTGCCTCCAAATGAACTACTTGTTCTCTTTTTCAAACCCAAAAGCAAAGTGATATCCACTTACGGGCCTCCTCCTAGCATTAGGACAAAGAGACACGCAAGTTTTAAGAACGGCCAAAACTAAAGTAGAATTTAGAACGCCAACAACAATAATTTAAGGATAATGTGGTCTTTGGGGGTTGTGTTGGAGTATCTCTGCCCCTCCTCCCTTGTTTTCCTCAAAAGGAAAAAGAAAGGGTTTTAAAATTGTTGGTTTAGTGTGTCATAAAGACCCAAATTATGCACATAATCAAAGGCTTAGTAATTCACCACATAATGTGGTTGGATTGGCAAAATCTTGTTAGTGGCAAACTGTGATGCCCACTTGCCTCCATTTTTAATTTCTTATATGATTTTGTTGTTCCTTTTGTCCGTTGTTTACTTTGGCCTTAGGTGTGGTGGCAGTGGTAGTGGCCAGCAATTTTAGGTCTTTGCTCTTTTGAATTTACACATGCTTGGGATATACTTTTGATACTTTATTCTATTGGTCTACGGACGCATTTATGATTGTAATTTTTTTTATTGATTTAATCAAGTTTTTTAAAGTAATATTATTATACTTAAATGATCTCACTCACTTTAATTAGATAATTTAGGTGGTAAAATTACGTCATTAGCTCTTGCACTATACATTAATATTTATTTGTACATTTTTTATTTTAATTTGTCTATGAACTTTTTGAGTTTTAAAACTTTAGTTCTGACCTAAATACTACAAAGTTAATATAATCAAATTATATGGAATGAAAATGATTAAATTGAAGAATATAAAATAAGTCTACAACTTAAACATAATACATCTTGTAGAATGTTCACATTTTCCTATTATTTATTTCCATCTTCGTCGTATCTATTTAGTTTTGTGATCTTATGGGAGTGGTTAGAATCAAACAAAATCCAAAGTACGTAGAAGAAAACATTAAACGATGGGTGTTTCCAAGGTGTTGAAAGAGAAAGCCTATGTTACGCTCTATTTGATTTTTTACCAAAAAACAAAAGTGTAATTTGGACATTAAACACAGCTTCTTGTCTTAAAATGGGTATCGATGCTTTCGATGTTTAAGGTGCGATGGCCGATGGGATGTTTTCGAGACTCCACATTTTGTTCCTTTCATCGCTGTTTTCTTCGTTGATCCAAATACTATGGTTAATTAGTACCATGATGCCTATTAGTCTAATAACGTGGGAATTGTCGAAAATGAGGCACTCTTGTCTTCAATTTAATTTGGCGTCAACTAAGTTTATATTAGAACATCGTGTCACGTCATTATGTGAATGAAAAGAGTTATGTTAATTTCTTTTTATATACGGTCTGTCGCAACCGTCTTTCGGTTGGGCATCGGAATTGGGCTTCGACGTGAAAAATGGATTGGGAGTCGCCACCGACCACTTTAAAATGAATTTAGGTGGGTCGGACACCATCTTACATGATCTGCGTTGTACCAGAAACGTGTCGAGTTCGGGAGTCGGTTACGGTCAAGGAAGGATTAGCACCCTTGAACCGCCCTTTCGGTACCAATTAATTTGCCGATTGTCTTTGATTGCGAAAATTAAAAATTTAAATTTAAATTTAAAATATTCGATTCGAATTACTTACCTCTGATTGGTTGGAATTACTACTGAAAAAAAGTCAAAAATATTTGATTCAAACATACTCAATTTCAACATCATGCATCAAAATTATTATTAGAATTTCTTAATTAAGGCCAAAAGAGAGATAATTATTGAATCATCAAATTATTTCCCTATAGTCCAACTACGAATAAGAATAATTAATGTGAGTGTCTAGGTGTCAAAATTAAAGTCAATTAAAACCAATTAATAAATAATGTGAGTTTAAAACTAATTATCGAAACTGACAAAGCAATTAATCAATTAACAAAACGTTCCAAAAATTCTGATCTAATTATTAATAACTTATTAACAAACATGGAAACTAATCACGTTAGTCCACCCCCCATTAAAACAATTAACGTCTGAATTAACCAAATTAATATCATAATTAAAACCTCCATCAAGACATGGAGCTTAATGGCAATCAATGGTCACGTTTTTCTTCATGCAAGTAATTCAGGGAATACAAAAAGCACCAAATCATGAATTCAAAGAAAATTAAAATTAATTAAACTAATTATGGAAGTTAAAGCCTGCGTATTATACAAAGAAGAAGTCACGTTTGTTATCAATTAATTAACCAAATCAAATTACGATTATTGGTAAAATTAAACTAATTAAACTTCGGCTAATGTTTTAATTACCAATTAATACCATAAAAATTAAAATCAAGAAAATAAGATCAATCATGCTAGCCAAGAAGAGATGGAAATCACGTTTTAAACAAATGAACCAGGGAATGCAAAGCCATAAATTATGATTTTCTTGTCTTGTTTAATGAAGATAATGCAGATTTTAATTATTCCAATGCATAAAAAAAAGCCAATACAGAATTTGATCATCCTACTCAAGGAAAGAAATTAAGCCACGCTCGTTACAAGCACTTTCACCGAATTTGAAAGCATTCAACCATCAACCATGCAAACTCCAAAATTGTGCTGATACAATGAAAACAATTTCGGTTCTGTTACCTTCTTCCAGTTAAAAAAAATTTGCTGTTGAATGTTGGTTCGCCCGAGATTTGAAGATTTACTTGCCGGCTTGATGCTTTGGCATTCTACTTCCCATGATTCATGGAGCTTTTCCTTTTCTCTTTTCGTAGGTTTTTCTTCTCCAAGAATTTTCCTCCCCTTTACAAGGTGTGAAGATGGGTTTAAATAGGGATATATGAGAGATGATGGTGAGAGTTCAAATTTTATGGGACTCTTGGGGAAGTTGAGTTGTAGTGGGATATTGGATTTCATGGGATAAGGTTGTTGTTAGTTTAAAGGATGTGGTGGTGGAAGAGTCCTCCTAGGAGATGAACTCTAGTTAATTTTCTCTTTATGTCTATTTTTTTGGAGGAAAAAAATAATAAGAAAATGAGTGTCTACAGCTGCCCCTCTTTGTCCTTTTTCGTGGAACGAAAAAATAGGACAAAGATAAAATGACACGAATTTTCGTTCGGTGGAGTTGACTCTGATGTTTCAATAACTCTCTATCGAATTGAGTGTGAATGACTCTTTCGTTGCGAAGTTGAGTCCATATTGAAACGGAATTGAAGCCGTAGTTCAGAATTTGAATCAGAATGTGACTTCTTATTGCCAAACTGTAATCCACTTTGGTCTTCTTCTTGATTGAAAGACATTGGTTTGAGAATTCGACTGAAAAATCATTCTTTGACTCTACCATATGGTTGATAGGCCCTTAAGCTGACTGAAATCGAACCCGAAAAGGTCTTCATTGACATATAGCTTTTCACGACTTAAGCTATGCTGCTGGAAAAACGATTTATTTTCACTAAGGCACGGTTAACTCAGGTCTTCTTCTCGACTTGAAAACCTTGATTGTAGCCGAACAATAGTGTGGTTGGGGTGTCATCGAGCTGAATGGAACCGAACTCGACAATTTTATTGACAAATAGCCCTTCTTGCCTTGAGCTATGTTGTAAATGATATGACCTCGAAGTTGAGTGTAATCGAACTCGGGGGTCTTTGGCAGATAGCCCTTCTCGACTTAAGCTATGCTGCAAATGATGCGCCTTGGAGCTGAGCGTAGTCGAACTCAAAGGTCTTTGGTTGGCAGACAACCCTTCTAGACTTAAGTTGTGCTGCAAATGATATGCCCTCGAAGCTGAGTGTAATCGAACTCGAAGGTCTTTGGCAGATAGCCCTTCTATACTTAAGCTATGCTGCAAATGATGTGCCTTTAAGCTGAGCGTAGTCGAACTCGAAGGTCTTTTGGTCACAGATAACCCTTCTAGCCTTGAGTTATACTGTAAATGATGTGCCCTCGAAGCTGAGTGTAATCGAACTCGGGGGTCTTTGGCAGATAGCCCTTCTCGACTTAAGCTATGCTGCAAATGATGTG